GAACCATTATAGATCAGAGAATCCCAGACTGATTTGGGTTGATTAGAAAGAGGCACAGTGACTCCTGCTCTGCAGCTTACAAAGGGTCTCTCTATCAGCGGCTGCATTCCTTCTCTGACTGTACTGGTGGTCTCTCTATATTAGCAAACCCACTCCAGGCACAGCATCTGGGGCTTTTCTTTCCTACAGTATTTAAAGCTGAGTCCAGATGTTTGCGCATCAGCATCTCGTGTCGACATTTTCTGCATCTTTCAGAAATGGGTTGGGCAAACCCGTGGTACCTCATGCCCGATGCCGAGTGGACTGGAGCTGGGTCGTGGGAGCTCGTTTTTGCATTCTGTTGCCTCCACAGGGACTGTGGGCACAGGGGATGTGCCAGAGTCACGCCAGAGCTTACAAGAGCCAGGGTTTGCAAGATTGCTTCCACACAGGACCTGGTGCTGGGCTCAGGTCCCTTATTCTCAGTATTCTTTTGTTACCACATAAATCTAGAATGTTGTTAAACACATGAGAAAGACCTTTTTAACTAATGGGTAACTGAGACAGTTACAAACGTTATATATTTCTGCACTCATTAGGTATTTGAGTCAAGATCCATTTTGTGTTTCCGCAGCTAGAAGACAAGTCATCCACCTCCACTTTGAAAATAAATATACTAGAACCTTATTGCCTCAAAAATTCTTCTGAAGACATTAATGAGAAGGAGCTTACCTGGGGATTTATATGACTTTCTTATGGGATTGCCTACAAGGATGTAGCTTTCTATAAAATGATGTAAGCAAGTCCAAAATCCTATTAAAATGTAGTATCACTTTTGTTTTAATTTCACATGACTAAAGAATCTTACAGAACTTTCAAGGCTGAAATAATACCAAAACACTTTAAAATAACAGTTGGTTTCCTACAACTTTAGGACTTGTGATTATCTAGCACAATAGTAATTTTAAATTGGCAATATCTTGATGAAGAGATGCAATAAGCACTGCAGCTCATTCGTGAACTTGACTTTTGAATCCAATTTTACTCCCTTGGAAGGAAGTGTATTTTGACTTGAAAATTGTATGTGGTGAGCAACCATACAGTCCCTGAATGGCATGAGGGGAAAAGAAGTTTTCTCTACATGGGAGTTTGTTGGCATGTTTGCTTGGAAAAGAACTTCATTGTTTCACTGGCCTCTAAAGAATGAAAAAATCTCAGTATAAGTACATACTCATGAGTTTCTCCTCCTGCTGTCTACTTTCTGAAAATTGCCCGTACAAATGCAACCAGTGAACTTGTGCCTACATTATATGCTACAATATGTCTGTAGTTACTGATGATCAAAGATTAATTTTGTTTACAAATATTCTGTATGGCATTTTTGCTCAATTTAAATTCAAACTGTAGACAGTCTGGATTAGTGCAGTGGACAACAAAGGCACTGAATAAAGTTTCACACAAGTTCCACCAGGTCATCCCAAACATTAGTTTTTCATTGGGGGTGTGGCTGGGACAGAAGCTGCAGTTGCGAAGATCCCAACGTTGCTGCTCAGGGCAAGGGGACCACGTTTCAAAGAGCTGCTTGTATTGCTCTAGTCATCCTGGAACAGTTTCATACTGGTTGCAGCTGCATTTTCCCCCCTCTGGAGAACATATTAATCAAAAAAAGTCAAGATTTGATGTCCTGGAGGATCTTCCTGGGAAGTCATCAGGATCCATGCACATACCCAGGCAGGCTCACCTCAGCCTGAAAGACTTCACAAGAGCATTCTGGCTTCTTGACTTGCTTCTGGTCCAGCACAGGTCTTTAACCTGAGAACTTAACTAGGTTCCTCCTCTTTACCATGAGAGATGGAGCGATGGGCTCGGACACAGCTACCTCCCACCCTTTGCTGAAAACTTGCTTTTCATGGCATGCAGACACAAAGCTGAAAGCAGCTCAGGGAAAGATGTGCTCAAGGCACGTGCCAGTGGAAGCATGCAGACAAAAAAACTGAAGCAACCATAAAAAGTCATCAGAGCTGTGATCTGGGCAGGTCCCAATGGAGGAGAGCCTCCTTGCAGAACGAACGTGACCCGGCTCACTTTCCGGTTCAATTGAGATGTTTGACCTGGATCTGTCACCAGCAATCTTACCGCACTGCTGAAACTTCTGGTGATGACCATCAGCAGCAATGTAGTCACGGTCCCTGGAAAATTCCATAAATACCAGAAATTTATGTCTCTTAAGAGAGTAGCTTGAAAGATGAGAGCAGTTAACTGTGGAGAGGAGCCAGGGCAGAAGCTGAAGTACCATGTGTAGCACTAGCGCCAAAAACTGGTAGGGTGTGCAAAGGTTTCAGAGATGATCTTCAGCAAGAGAGATATTCTGTCCAGAATTAGGAGAGCTGGGGCTTGTCTGCTGTCTTGACCCCAGAGATTTTATCCAAGCAAATCCTGTGCCCAGATATTTGCAAGGCCTTTGAGTTTGCCACGTCAGGGCTTCCATTCCCATTGCTCTGCGAAAATAGTTTGCCTCTTAGAAAGGCAATCTGAAACAGTATCATAATGAAAAGAGATGATGAATCATTTTCAGCATTAACAGTCCTAAAGTGTGGTGTTTAGTCCAGGGTTCATCTCCTTTCTGTGATAATTAACTCTGAAATCCTGCTTAGCATCATCTCAGTTAAGCCGTTTCTAGCATCTGCCTGCACACAGCTGTGTCTGCGTACCCGGGGTTCGGGCGTTCTAGGAGTGCCTGTGGCTGTGCTCCTTCTCCAGATTAACCTGATGACATAACTCCTGCAAGATGTCGTCACTAGTGCAACTACAGAATTAACGGAAAGCCTAAAATGCCAGCTCCTGGGGGCTGCTCCTGTCCCAAGCCAAGGCGAGGGGCTTGCCGTTCCGCAGAGCACCCTCAACGCGCCGCCCTGGCTCGGAGCTGCCGTCTCGGGGAAAATCAGCATCACCTCCGCCTCGCTGCAGCGACAGAGGTGGCAGATGCTAAACAGTTCTCCTCCCCGCACACATGCACCTTGAAATAAATAATGCTCCACGGATCCTAAACCTACTGCGAAGGGACCAAACTCCAGAGACTTGACAACACGTGGGAGCGAGGTCAGGCTGGAACGCGTAGCCCCGTGCTAGAGGTTATTTAAAAATTCTGTCTTGGCAGCGCTGCCAGTGGCGTGAGGGAGCAGAGAGACCTGTAGCATTGTTCACCATGCCACCATTTCCTCCAGCTACCTTCCATCTGATATCAGCTCTGCCGCACTCTTACTCTTGGCAGCCAGAACAGCTGCATCTCTCTCCTTAAAAAAAAACAACAACCCCCCCCCAAAACTGTGAAGCCAAAGTCCTCCTGCAAACCTGCCTCCTAGCCGATACAGAACTATTTTGCTAAACTCTGGCTTGCAGCAAGTTACTTTTTATAATATGACTTTGGATTCTGACATACAAAAGAAAACTGACAATTTTTTCCCCCGGCATGAGCCTGCTCTTGTCTGCGCTGGGCAGAGCTGGCAGAGCGTCAGCCCCGCCGATGCCAAGCGTTCCGTCAAAGCAATGATTTACAAATATAATAGTGGACTCTAGTAACATTTTTTTTTGGTGGGTAAAACTGTTTCCCTTTCTCCTTCCAAAAAAGTGCAGAATTGGCTCATGCTCGAATTTTTGTAACCTTGTGTTAAATTTGGAGGCGAGGGGGAGTGCTCTTGCAGAAGCACGTACTTGTCCTCACACACACGCTTCTCGGGTGTGACTTGGTTATGGTTGGATGGACGTTTTCTCCTGACCTTTTTTTTTTTTCAGACTGCTGTAATATTAAAATCTTCCGTGCTGTTGGAAAAGGTTAATTTGTTTGTCTGAACACAAACAACTGGCAATGCCTTAAGCCATTCACCACTTCCTTTTTCTTGACACCAGAAGCTTTGCCCCTCCTGCCCCACATCTTGCTCCAAAGCTTTACTCACCGCTTCTTTAAACTGATCTCCAACATTATATTATTTATGAATAAAGGTCACCCCGTGAGGAAATGGCACATCTCCTAGAAAACAATGTGCACTTTCTAAATTTGAACCGAGTTGTTTCCGCTCTTTGATTTAAGTTTAGTTACTTCCTGTGGTTTCTTGTCCTACGCCGCTGCTGAATCTTTGGACTGACTCCAGGATAAATTGCACTCTTTCAATGAAATTAGAAGCTGCGGCACTAGGCGGCTTAGCTAGTCGAGCTAGTAAACAGCACTTAAATTAAATATTAGCCCACTTAGTGTTTTGAAGAGGAGTGCCTAATTACCTGCGCGGGGTGACGTACCAAGCCTGACCCGCGCCGGTGCTCTCCCATGAGCTGCACCCTCCGCTCCCACCCTGGTTTGCAGCCAGACAGGCTGCTGAGCCAGAGCTCCCACCCTCACGGGAGAGCTGAATGCAGCCTTGGAAACCCGCAGAGCTCCCAAGGGAGATGGGACGCAGCCTCGACGTAGCCAAGCCACCCTCCTGTGGGCACATCCTGGGTTTAGCAAGGACAAGCGCTCAGCCCCACGCTCCGGAGCATCTTTGCGCCAGGCCAGCGCTCCCATGAGCCATGATTTTGCACTAGGGTTTTGTAGTGATAAGAGCCAGCTGGGGAAAAGCCCCAAACCTTAAATTAGTCATTTTGGGCAGTTTGCTGTCAAAAAAAAAAACATGCGAATACGCGCCGGTAACCATAAGATGTGCCTTCCCTCAGTAAAAATTATGAACGGGCCCCTCAGGAGGCTGCAGTAAGGGTGGTGAGGACCGGGGGAGCTATATATGGCCAAGGTCAGGCAGAGGAACACAGCAGCAAAGGAAGTGATGCACTTTATACCAGGGCAAGTGCTCTGGCTCCGTCATAAGCCCTTCTGCATAATAACCAGCCTCAGCACAGAGCCCTCCTTGAGCTGGGTTTGCAGGGTAGCTCAATAACGATGCGCTCTTTCTCTCCCCCACCCCTTTTCTTTCTCCTTTCCTTCCCCCAGGATACTTAAGAGCAGGTCATTCGCCGTTAATCAGACCACTTCATCAATGGAGCCCCGGATCCCCCACAACATCACCGTCGTCCCCAACTCTGTGATGGTCCAGCCCTTGCTGGACAGTCGGATCCCCTACGGGCGGCTGCAGCACCCGCTCACCATCCTGCCCATCGACCAAATGAAGACGACTCACATCGAGAACGACTACACCGACAACCCCACCGCTTCCCAGCTGGCAGCCCAGAAGCATCCCCGAGCCCCCCACGAACTGGTCTTGACCAACCAGCACCTGCAGCGCTGCGAGCAGGATGTCACCCACCCCTGGATTTCGTTCAGCGGGCGCCCCAGCTCCATCAGCAGCAGCAGGCGGACGCCCCCAGAC